GGTCGAAAAGCTACAAGCTCTTAAAGGATGATGATTTTGGAAGGAAAGTATGAAACTTTTCAGTTGTGAGTATTTCAGGTGAGATTGATACCAAGACGTTAGACAGTACCCAAGGTTTGGTATCTTGCTTACTCTTACTTTTCAATTAGTTACACAAACCATTGACCTTTGGTTTAGCAATGGAAGTTACACTACCCTTTTTTTCCCCTCTCGTATGCCATTGTTGAGACTTGAGTTTAGCCGTGCCAATGTTGATGCATGTCCGAATCGATAAGATACTTTAGTGCATATATAAAAAAAATATATACAATAATAAATCTCATAGTCATATAAAAAAACAAATAAACAACCTAAAGTAGCAACTAAAATATTAGTTATATTTTATTTTCTTTTTGTTCAACAAAATTGTTAATCAAATTTTCAAAATCAAAGTTTTTAACTAAAATTTTTCGATGGAAAATAATTAAATTTTTCAAAATTTCATGTGATATACTCGAATAAAAATAAGATAGTCAAGTCTTTCAATCTTTTATGTAACAAACTAATTCGACGTTTATTTTACTCTAATTCTTAACAATACAATTAAAATTTGTTTATATATATTTTAGTTACTTAACCATTAGAAGCCAATAGTTTTTACTTTTTATCATGTAGGCCAATGTTTTGTTTATTTTAACTGTCACGAAATTTTCAATGTTTAAATCTATGTTTCTATAAAAAAATTTTGGGGCAATTGCAAAAATACCACTTTGTGTGTCCATATATGCAAAAATGCCACTTAGGGGTGTKKAWWYKAAAAATGCCACTAATTATAGATTTTTAAAGTCTATATCTTAAAATTATAAACCTTAAAAAATGTTTTGACTCCTAAAACCCTCTAAACCCTCAAAAGTAAACCCTAATACAACATAGTTAACCCAAACATAAATTATATAATGAAAAAATAATTTTGAAAAAGTGACATTTTTGCAAAGATTTTGAAAATGTGATATTTTTGAAAAGTGGTACCTAAAAAGTGGCATTTTTAAAAATTTTTTTTTTTATTTGAGTTTAACTAAATGAAACTAGTAAGAATATGTCCAATTCAACTTTTCCAAAAAAATTTGATGCCCTAAGCAAATGTCTCAAATGTATACGTTGAGGCACGGCTCTGCTTCTTGGTTTTAGCATCTTTGAGTTAATGAGTTCCGCAGTAACAGCTAATCTTTCTACGGCTTTTTAGTTTTCTCGGGTTATTCTTCTCAATGGAAACAGTTTTATCATTTTCTTTTTGTTGGTTTTTGATACGAGAAACGAACCTCATGATCCAAATATATTACATTCGAACAAGTGGTTTTGCGGAGAAATTATGAAAGTGGCAAAAAAGTCGAGAACCTAAGATCTTTCATGTTACATTTTTTTCTCCGCAGACAAATCTATTTACGAAGTAAGATCCATTGTTTTGGTATAGAAATGAGACAAATATTGTGGAACAAATATCATTGAAGGCAGCAAACAACAGGTGAGAAACTAAAATCAATCGATTACTGTGGTGGAATCAAAATTTGTCAAGCAATTAGGCGGATAAATCACAAGTCCTACTTGCAAAATGGAATCAGCTC